CCCTCAGCCCTCACTTCAGCCCCTCAGCCCCTCACCTCAGGTCCTTCAGCCGCTTGCAGTGCTTCAGCATGTCGGCAAGAGCAGGCATGTACACCACCTTCCCCATCATGCCCAGGTTGGCCAGCGACAGAGACTGCAGCTGCTGGCACTGTAGGCCAATGCTCACTAGTCCAGAGCCTGTCAGCATGCCTGGCAGTTGGGCTAGTGTCAGGTGCCGCAGGAAGGCCAGCTGGCCGATGGCAGCCACCTCTGAGTCCCCCACGTTCTGGGCCCGGCTGCAGGGCGGGAGGGAGTTGCGGATGGCAGGCTCATTGCGGGGCATGGCTGAGGAGAAATTGGACCCAATCAGTTCCAGATGCTCCAGAAAAGGGAGCTTCTTCAGCAGAGACCAGAACACAGAGGCAGGCTGGGGGGTCGACTGGCCCAGGAAAGGGTTGGGACAGGTCTGCACCCCAATGCGCACCTTCTTGCCAAAGCCACGGGGCACCGCGTGCATAGCTGGCGGGGCAGGCGCACGGTCAGGCCTGGGTGCTGAGTCCGCCACAGAGCAGACAGGCAGGGAAAGGGAACGCAGGTGGCAGAGCCGGGCCAGGAGCTGGCAGAGGTGGCGGCCCAGGCCGTCGGAGCTGTGGTGGTGGGCAGCTGAGAGATTGAGGTGGTGCAGGTTACAGCAGGACTCCACCAGCGTCTCCAGGATGCTGCTGTCAATGTCATCCTCTGCCTTACGGAGCAATGAGTCCGCAGACAGGCAATGCACACAGCCACTGAGGTTGAGGCTGGCCAGGCTGCTCAGGTCCTTCCCCCCATTGATGACCCGCTGGATCAGGTGACCGCCTGACAGTGTACACCGGCTAAAGCTGAAGTAGAAGGGATTGTTGAATTTCATATGCTGGAGGAGGGTGGAGCCATTCAGCCATGACTTGGGCAGTTGCAGGGCATCCAGGGCCACGTTGCGGGCCATAGAGTCCAGCAGGTTCTTGGTGGCCCCACTCTCTGCGAAGCTGCCAGGGACGGAGATGAGAAAGGCATGCAGGTTCTCGGGAGTACGGTCACTAAGCACAGCGAGGTAGAGCCGCACCACCTCCTGGTTGATGTAGCCCGGAGCCAGGCGTGCGTAGAAGACACGCAGGTTCTGGTAATGGGGCACGTTGCTCTGGCCCACCATGAGCTGGCCTGAGAGGACAGCACCCTCACGTGTGCGGTCCAGGATCTCAAAGTAGAGCAGCAGCTTCTGCAGGCTGGCACAGCAGGGCACCACACCATAGGACGGTGTGAAAAGTGTCTGCTTGAGCTCCCGTACGCGGCTCAGCGTGGCCTTGCACTCGCTGCTCAGCTGGCTGGCATCGAAGCCAGGGCTCACATCGATGGCCAGCGAGCGCAGGTGCTGCAGGGCTGAAAGCACCTTGGACAGCCGCAGGGAGGTGAGGTGGCAGCCAGACAGGTTCACCTTTACCAGGCTGTGACATCGGGCCACATGCTCAATGGTGGAGCCAGACAACCAATAGCAGCCTGCCATGTTCAGGTGCTGGATCTCCCGGCCGATCTCCTTCACCAGCTGCCTCACCTTATCCTCACTGGCCTGCAGGATGGGGACAGGGCAGAAGAAACAGGTGTCCACGGCTACTCCCCACTCTTGCCCCAAGAAAAGCTGCCTGCCCTTCCTCTCCCATATACCTGTCACTGCCAACAGGGAAGAGACCCCGTGCCCAGGAAGAAAAAGCAGAAAGATGTTCACTACCCAGGCCTGGTGGCACATGCCTGTCATCTCAATACCTGGGAGGTCGAGGGAGGAGCATTACAAGTTTAACACCTGTCTGGACTACAGAGTTCCAGGCTAGCCTGGGGTACACAGCAAGACTCTAGTTTTAAAAAGAAAAAATAGTTGCTTGCTGAAAGCTCTAACTGGGGAAGGAGAGGTGGTTGAGTGATATGTGCTACTCTTCCAGAAGGCCTGAGTTCAGTTCCCAGCACCCACATCAGGTGGATCACAACTGCCTGTAACTCCAGCTCCAGGGGAATTTGATAACTTTGGCCTCCGTGGGCAAAAGCACTCACATGGATACACACATACATTTAAAAATAACTAATTTTACCGGGTAACGGTGGTGCGTGCCTTTAATCCCAGCAGTTGGGAGGCAGATAGGCGAATCTTTGTGAGTTGGAGGCCAGCCTGATCTACAGAGCGAGTTCCAGCACAGTCAGGGCTGTTACACAAAGAAACCCTGTCTTGGAAAAACAAAACAAAACAAAAAAAAACCTAATTTTTTTTTAACTATATATTTTTTGTTTTCTCTCTCTCTCCCTAAACTGTTGTTGTATTTTTGCGGGGGAAAGGAAGGGTTTGAAACAGGATTTCTCTGTACAGTCCTGACTGTCGTAGACCAGGCTGGCCTCAAACTCACAGAGATCTACTTGCCTCAGCTCCTGAGTGCTGGAATTATAGGAATATGCTATCAGGCACACCTATCTGGTTTTTTTTGTTTTTTGTTTTTTTTTTTTCAATTTGTTTTTGTTTAAGATAAGGGCTTATTAAACTGGTCTGAGCTATGATCACCTGCCTCAGCCTCCTGAGTGCTGTGACTACACGTGTAGCCTACCGCAATGGGCTTGTGTCTCAGGTCAATCAGAGACTTACGCCCTGAGCAACAGAGGGCAGCCCTTTGGCAGCCATGTCCACTGTGCCGCCCACTGTGCGGACCTTCTACAATCTGTCCTGCGGTGCAGTAACTCCATCCTAGGGTGCCTATGGAGAAGGAGGCCTCCCGCTGACCCCTGCATCTGGGGCCCAGGCTCCCTCCCTCCCAGAACTATATCCACAGGCTCTATGCCTTCCTCCATGGCACACATCACCTCCCCTTTTCAATCCTGGCTCTGTCACTATATCGTAATGTGTGACCGTTCCCGGGTACACAGTTTTCTGTACAAACATCATTACCACCAGCCCCCACAGGCTGGCACCTAGGTCGATCCTGGCTTCCCACCCACACCTGCCTCACCTGGTAGTCCTTCTGTAGCAGCACAGTATGCACCAGGCTCTTGTCCAGGCACAGGGCTGCCAGTTTCCGGCAGGTACGCCGCACATTGAGAACCAGGTCTGTGCTGGGGACATGGCTCAGGATATGCAGGAGAATCTCATCTGAGAAGCCCAGCAGGTGGGTGTCACCCGCTGCCTCTGCAGCTGTGGGGGCAGCATCGTCATCGCTGGACATGTCCTAGAAGTTAGGGACAGCAGAGGGAGGGGGTGAATCAGTCATTAGATGCTAGCTGGACAAGCAGAAGGACCTGAGTTTGGACCCCAGCACCCACATAAAAACCTGAGAAAGGTAGCATGTGTCTGGAATCCCAGCGCTAGGGATTCATGAACAGGAGGATCCTACCCTGCCCCCATAGCAGAAAAACTTTACCAACTCTTCACTGAAGGGTGAAGAACAGAGTTCCCAGAATCCCCTTAGAACTGCAAACCAGGAGACAAGGTGATAAAGAACCTCTGATGGTCACTTTCAGCCAACTCCCAAATGTTCTGGCTTTTCCTAGGTGTTAAAACAGCTTGCTGTATAGCCCAGGCTGGCCTTGAACATGGTGCTGGCAATATACCCATGTACCAACACTACTGGCTCCCGACAATCACTTCTACTCTCTTTCCTTCCTTCCTTTTTGACAGTGTCTCATGTAGCCCAAAGTGACTACAAACTGGCCAAGGATGACCTTGGACTCCTGATCATCCTGTCTCTACCTCCCAAGTGCTAGGATCACAAGAATGCACCACCAGGCCGAGTCTCCTCAGTGCTTGGAATGGAACCCAGGGCTTCATGCATGCTAGACAAGCACTCTAGCCAAGCCACATTCCGGCCCTCTACAGCCTTTGCAGGTGACCAACATACAGTGCATACAGGCCCCTGAACCACAGCCTACCCTCCTGCCCCTCTGCCTCCAGGCACAGCTACCCGAGCAGGAGCAGACTTTACACAAGACACTTGGGAATTTGAACAAGTACATGCTGTACTGAATTTTCCCTCTTCTTTTTACATTTCTGTATGTAATACTGTGTGTGTGAGAGAGAGAGTTGGTGAACAAGTTCCCGTGTTGAGTCAGAGAAGGGTGGGAGATGGAGAGAGAGTGTGTGTATTGGTGCACAAGTGCCTGTGGAAATCAGAGAAGGGTGGGAGAGGGAGAGATTGAGTGTGTGTTGGTGCACAAGTGCCTGTGGAAGTCAGATGACAATTGGTAAAGTTGTGGAAGTCGGTTCTCTCGTCCACCATGTAGGTCTCATAGAACTAAGGTTGTCATGGCTGGAGAGAGGGCTCCAAGGTCACAAGTGCACACTGCTCTTGCAAAGGGCAATTCCCAACACCCACGTTGGGTGGCTCCTGACTGCCTGTAACTTCAGTTCCAGGGAATCTGATGGTTTCTGTGGGCAACTGCACTCACATGTAAATACCACAAAACAGACTCACAAATACATATCATCATCATATCATCATCATAGCCAAGTGGTGATGGCGCATGCCTTTAATCCTAGAACTCAGGAGGCAGAGCCAGGTGGATCTCTTAAATTTGAGGCCAGCCTGGTCTACAGAGCAAGTTCCAGGACAGCCAGGGATACACAGAGGAACCCTGTCTCAAAAAAAGAAAGAAAGAAAAAAAAAAAAAGAAAAGAAAAAAAGACACCACAGCCTGGGTCTGGAGCATGACCCCAGCTGCCACCTTTGGGGCTCCCCACACTCAGGGTGGGCATTTGGTGGAGAACCCTGGGTGACACACCTTTTGTTGCTTTCTGGTCTCACTATGGAGCTGGCAGGCCTGGAACTCCCCATGGTCTAACCTCGGCTTCCTGAGTGCTAGGACTACAGGTGTGCACCAGCACTCCTTTTTTGCAGAAGGGTGTGGTGATAGAGTGTGCACCCTAATAAACTTTGCCTGAAGACCAGAGGACAGAACAGCCACGAGATTAAACACAGAGGTCAGGCAGTGGTGGCACACACCTTTAATCCCAGCACTTGAGATCTCATGCCTTTGCTTGGGAAGCATGCACACCTTTAATCTCGGAAGTGATATAAGATGTGGTGAGACAGAAACTAAAGGCTTCTTGGCTGAAGCTTTTTCGGCTGGGGCCTTTCAGGTGAGGACTCAGAGGATTTCAGTCAGAGGATTCGTGGAATTGACACGGTGAGACGTGGCAGTGGCTTGTTCCTTTATCTCTCTGATCTTTCAGCATTTACCCCAATATCTAGCTCTGGGTTTTTTATTAAAAGACCTTTTAATAAATTCAATTAATAAATTTAAATAACAGAAGGGTTTCCTTGTTTACACATGTGTGTATGTATATGTGTGTGTGTGTGTGTGTGTTGTGATGTTGTTGTGTGTGTGATGTTGTCATGTATGTGATGGTGTGAGTGTGTATATGGAAGCCAAGGTGGACAAGGACTGTCTTCCTAAGTCTTTATCATATTTTTCTAGAGCTCATCTAGACAGGCCAGCCAGCAAGCCCCAGGGATCCAACTGTCTCTGTTCCATCAACGTGGGATTAGACCCACAGACACCCACCACCCTGCTTTGCTTTTTCTGTGGGCTAGAGATGCAGACTCGGGTCCACATCTGCACAGCAAGCACTTTACTGACTAAGTCATCTCCCTAGATCAAGGATTATTTTTTTACTACCTAAGAGGGAAAAAAGCACAGAACTAGGCTAACTTGCCTCCAGAGGACAGCAACTCTATGCCATGCCCACCCTTCCTTCAGACACCAGGCTCTGGCCAGGATTTACTTGTGGCAACTTAACCGGAACGCAACTGGCTTAGAACTATGACACTCCAAAGCTGGCTAGGGAACTTGGAAAGCTAAGCATGGTGCTGCACTTCTGTAATCCTTCAGGCATAGGTGCACACACACATGCAAACACAGAAAAACAGAAAAAGAAAAAAAAAACTTGAAAAAATTTTTAAAAAGGCTCGGATGCCAAGATGTGGCCTCATGGTTCACTAGGCTGACTTAGGCACTGCCCCTGGGATACACTGATTCTATATGCTTCCAAATGGCTCCTTCTCCATCTGAGCCCAAAGCTCTGTTCTCAACTCCAGCCCCAGCCAATCTCTGCTTCACTAGATCATGCATTGTCTCAGAGTAAAAAATGAGGCCATAAGTTAAGAATTACCCCATGCATCTGTATGATGGCACACACCTGTAATTCTAACACCCAGGAGGATGAGGCAGAATTATAAAGTAAAGGCCAGCTTTGACTACACCCATCCCAACAAAAATCAAAAAGGAAAGAGAAAAGAAGAACTACCCTAGGGCTGGAGAGATGACTCAGAGGTTAAGAGCACTGGCCGCTCTACCAGAGGTCCTGAGTTCAATTCCCAACAACCACATGGTGGCTCATAACCATCTATAATGAGATCCGGTGCCCTCTTCTGACATGCAGGCATGCATGCAGAATACTATACACAATAAATAAATAAATAAATCTTTTTTTCCCTAGAGCTGAGGACCGATCCCAGGGCCTTGTGCTTGCTAGGCAGGCGCTCTACCACTGAGCTAAATCCCCAACCCCAATAAATAAATCTTAAAGTTTAAAAAAAAAAAACTACCCTTCAGGTTTCCAACAACCTCTTCTCTCCTGAGTTCTCCTTCCAACCTGGATTTCAGTGCTGGGTTCGTCAGCACGACCTTGAACTGACAGTCTCTCTTGTTCTTTGGGGAGATGGCTTAGTAGTGAGGAGTTTGCCACACAAGCATGAGCACCTGAGTTTGGATCCCTGGCACCCTTGTAAAAGACCCGGAGAGGCCAGGTGGTGGTAGTGTATGCCTTTAATCCCAACACTTGGGAGGCAGAGGCAGGTAGATCTTCAAATTTGAATCTTCGAGTTCAGTGGTTTGAGTTCGAGACCAGTGAGTTCCAGAACAGCCAGGGCCACACAGAGACCCTGTGCCCAAAAACAAACCAACCAAAAATGTCGACCTGCAGCTGTAATCCTAGTAATGGGGAGGCAGACACAGAAGGACCCCTGAAGATGCCTGAACAGACAGCCTAACTCAATCAGTGAGGTTCAGAGATTTTGTCTCAAAACTGTAAGGTGAAGGAGCTGGAAAATGATGGCTCAGCTGTTCAGAGCACTGGCTGCTCTTATAGAGGACCCAGGTTCAGTTCCCAGCACCCACGTGATGGCTGACAATTACTTATAACTCTGCTTTCAGGGAATCCAACACCTTCTTCTGATTTCTGTGAGCACTGCATGCACACATGGTACATAAACATACATGCAAACACTCATACACATTTAAAAAAAAAAAGGTGCTGGATGTGGTGGCACATATCTTTAATCCGAGTACTTGGGAGGCAGAGGCAGGAGGATCTCTATGAGTTAAAGGCCAACCATAATCTACATAATGAGACCCTGTCTTAAAAATAATTAAAGTCAGGCAGTAGAGGCATACACTTTTAATCTCAGCACTTGGGAAACACAGACAGGCAGATCTCTGTAAGTTCGAGACCAGCCTGGTCTACAAACTGAGTTCTAGGAGACCTTTTGTTACACAGAGAAACCAAATTAGTAATAATAATTTTTATTAATTAATTTACTTAGTATTTATTTTTGGTTTTTTGAGACAAGATTTTGCTGTCTAACAAAGGATTTCCTGAAACTCCCTTTGTAGACCAGGCCGGCCTCTGCCTCCTGCCTCCTGGGATTAAAGGCATGCACCACCACTCCTGGCTTTAAAAGAGAAATTTTTTTAAGGGAGAGAGTGACTCTGGAAGACACCCAAAATTGACCTCTGGCATCCAGAGGTGTGGCCTCCACAAGCACCCACACACATACACAGACAGACAGACACGTACGCACGCACGCACGCACGCACGCACGCACGCACGCACGCACAAATAAGCCAGACATGGTTGTGTGGATCTATTGTCCCTGCTACTTAGAAGGCTCAGGCAGGAAGATGGCTTGAACCTGTAAGTTTGACAGCAACCCAGACAACACAGCAAGATCTAATTTCAATGGCTCAAACCTTACTGGCTGGCTGTATTGCCCACTCAAGGAAGGGAGGGGCTTCTGAGTCAGAACTCCACAGGACCACATGACCAGACATGCCTAATTCCTAACCCATACAACTCCTAGAGAGCTGCTAACACAGCAGTGCTCCCATGGAACTGTTCTTGCGGGAGGTAAGTGTTATAACACTCTCCTTTCTCACTCCTCTCTCATTAATCTGCAGCTGGACCACACACTCTTCCCTGTCAAGTGAGGAGACACTTCTGGGCACAGTTTCCTTCAAAAGAGAAGCATCCAACAGACCCCAGCCATGTTCTATCTACTCTGGAAAACATTTGATAGTCTCCCTGGATAAATGCAAGGAAACTCCTAAAACTTAAAAGTGTGCCCAAAGGCCAGCAAGATGGCTAAGTGAGCAAAAGAGCTTTGCAACACAAACCTGATGACCAAGTTCAAATCCTGGAACCCACATAAAATGCTGGATGCACCGGCCCACTTCTGCCGTGCCAGCCCTGCTACAGCAAGACAGGAGGAGGAGACAGGAGGATCAGGAAGAAGCTCAGAAGCCAGCTACTCTGGAGCATGCACCATGGTGGAAACAACACAGGGGAAGGCAGGAGCTGGAAAGGTTAGAGGCGACTACTGCAGTCTCAGAGGACCTGAGTTTGGTTCCCAGCACCCACATCAGAGGGGCTGACAACCACCTATGACTCCACCTCCAGGTGCATGAGATCCTTCCGGCCTCCTCACGAATTTGCACTCATGTAACCACACCCACACAGTTATACATTTGTATACATGATTAAAAATAAGTAATTGAAGCCGGGCGCTGGCGGTGCACACCTTTAATCCCAGGACTTGGGAGGCAGAGGCAGGCGGATCTCTATGAGTTTGAGGCCAGCCTGGGCTACAGAGTGAGTTCTAGGAAAGGTGCAAAGCTAACACAGAAAAACCCTGTCTCGAAAACCAAAAAAAAAAAGTGAAATGCAAGAACCAACTCCTGAAAGTGGTCCTCTGAACTCCACATGCATGCCATGCCATGAACATGCCGGTACTCATACATACACACTAATATAATAAAGTGTACCCATAGGTGGGAGTCCTAAGAAAGAACAAATATAAACTCAGATGGGCAGGCAGCAACAGAAAAATAGCCAGATCCTCCACCCTTCCCCCATACTACTGTGTGCAAAAATACTGTACACCCATATAACAGGACTCAGTGGGATTCTCCAGAGAACCTAGATCAGAGAACTTTGGGGTCAGACCTAAGCCCTATCACCCTTCCCCACACCACAACCAGGCTCCAGAAAGAAGTGGGCTGCACTTATGCTGACAGAAAAAAAAAAAAGGAGCGGGGGCTGGGGATGTGACTGAGTTGGTAGAGTGCTTGCCTAGCATGCACGAAGCCCTGGGTTCCATCCTCAGCTTGGCATAAAACCCCGCGTGGTAATGCACATCTATAATCCCAGATTACAGAGGCTAAAACAGTAGAATTGCTGTTAAGTTCACGACTAGCCTGGGCTGCACACTGAGTTCCTGGCAAGTCTGAGCTACAGAGTAAAACAAAACAGGAGCAGAAGGGGCAACGTCCCGGAGCTGCGAAAGCTGAGCCAACGCACAGGGAGATGGGGGAAGGCCTAGAAATTCAGCAGGCCACGCGAAAAGCTCCACACTGACCAGCGGATTGTGAGCCTGGGAACAGGATGGGGACATAAGAAGGGAGGGCCTGGGAGAAGGGGAGGAGAGGGCAAGGATGGGCCTTGGAGCAAGGCCAGGGTCGGGAGGGAACACCGAGGGGACCCCAGCCGCCGGGGCGGGAGAGGCGCCGGTCGTACCTCTCCGGAGCTGGCCGCCGGAGCTGCAGCCTCGCAGTCCCCCAGCCTGCCAGGGCAGGGATGCTCGAAGCCGGCACCGCCACAGCTCCACAGAAACCCCGGTAAGGGGCGTGGCTGCGCCTCACTTTCGGCGCCCCTCAACGTACTTCCGCTGGCGCCCGGATGGACAGGATGCTGCCGCCATATTGGGTGTGGCGTAAGTACTATCAGGACTAAAAGGCACCCAGAAGGTCACAAATGACTGGTCACTAAACTACGTCGTCAGTCTCCTGCTGTCACTCCAGCTCGCTTCTAGCTTGTAGCCTTTGCATTTGCCCTCCACGCAGCACACTGCGCTCCAAGCCATCTGTCAGAGCACTCAGGCATCCTCCATAACCATAGCAACCTTCAGGCGCACACGCTCCTGATCTTGACCCTCATTTGTGTTATAATTCTCAGTAGCTCATTGCACCATCCGACTTTACTATACATTTTTTTGTTTGTTTTGAGACAAGTTCTCAAGTGTAGACCTGGCTGTCCTGGAATTAGACCAGGACCTATGTAGACCAGGCTGGCCTGAAAGGCACAGAGATCCTCCTGCCTCTACCTCCCCTCTCTGCCTAGGCCACTATATATATAATTTTTATTTTTACTTTTTACCGCTACTGAGGATTGAACCTCATTCATGTTAAGTAAGTGCTCTGCCGGTACTCATCCCCCATAACTAAGCAGAGTCTCTGACCAACACTGTTCTTTGCATGTCATAACACTGAATAAATATTTGTTGAATAAATTACTTTCCCCACAGAATTTGCAGTTAAAAATGGTTTACTAAGGCAGAGCCAGGCAGATCTCTGTGAGTTCGAGGTCAGCCTGGTCTACAGAGTGAGTTCCAGGAGAAGCACCAAAACTGCACAGAGAAACCCTGTGTGTGTGTGTGGGGGGGGGGGGTTTACTAGAGATGGTGAAATAGCTCATCAGGAAAAGAGGCTTGGCCATCTGAACTGAGTTGTATCCCCAGGATCCATATGGTAGAAGGAGAAAACTGGCTCCCAGAAGCTACCCTCTGACCTCTGTGTCTGCACCTTCTCATGCATACATGCCCTTCCTTGCCCAAGTGCACACAGAAAAAGAGAAAGGAAGGACAAATAAATTTTTTTAGTTAAGATAATAGTTTAGAAGGAGCTAGGGGATGTAGTACAGTTGAGTGCTTGCCTAGCAGGCATGAAATCCTGGATTCTGTCCCCAGCACTATATAAACTAAACCAAATGGAGGCAATCTCAGCATTCAAGAGGAGGACCAGCAGTTTGAGGCCAGCCTTATCTACATAGTGTGTTTTAGGACAGCCAAGGCTACTGGGGAACCAATATATCCTTCTTACCTCCATTTGGGGTGGTGGTGGCACACGCCTTTAATCCCAGCACTCAGGAGGCAGAGGCAGGTAGATCTCTCTGAGTTCAAGGCCAGACTACATTGTGAGTTCTAGGACAGGCAGGGTTACACAGTGAGACCCCATCTTCAAAAAACAAACATCCTTCTTACCTCCTTGGGACAGAACACATTCTGAATAATTATAAAAATTAATAATAATAAATTATGAACACAGTGGGAAGCTGGGTTTCAAGCCCCTGATTAAACCCTCCAGCTCAGCATTGTCAACTACTTCAGAGAGAAGAAAACTGCCTGAGCATTGGGAGGAAGGAGTGGGTGGAGCCTGGGACAGGGCTTAGGTGGAGTCCACTGAGAAAGCCTCATCACTTCACATCAACTGGTTCTCCCTATGCCAGATAAAGACTGCCACAGATGGAGCTCCTGTATCCATTTTTGGAGAGGAACATGTCCATCCACAAAAGATTTTGAGGGGTCCACAATTTCCATGGGCTCTGGCTCATCACAGCCATCGATATATAATAATTTCTTACTTTTTTGGGTTTTTGTTTTTGTTTTTTGAGACAGGGTTTCTCTGTGTAGCCCTGGTTGTCCTGGAAAGCACTCTGTAGACCAAGCAAGCCTGGAACTCATGAAGATCCACCTGCTTTTGCCTCCCAAGTGCTGGGATTAAAGGCATGCACCATCACTGACCAGCAATTCCTTTTTTTTTTTTTTGAGACAGGGTTTCTTTGTGTAGCTTTGCGCCTTTCCTGGAACTCACTTGGTAGACCAGGCTGGCCTCGAACTCACAGAGATCCGCCTGCCTCTGCCTCCCGAGTGCTGGGATTAAAGGCGTGCGCCACCACCGCCCGGCGTTTCTTTTTATTTTTTTATTATTTTTTTAATTTAATTTAATTTTGAAACAGGGTTTCTCTATGTAGCCCTGGCTGTCCTGGAACTTACTCTGTAGACCAGGCTGGCCTGGAACTCACAGAGATCTGCCTGCCTCTGCCTCCTGAGTGCTGGGATTAAAGGTGTGCACCACCACCAGGCTCTCTTTTTAATTTTTAAATTACATTTATTATTTTATTTATTTATTGTGTATGATTATGTGTGTGCATGATGTATGTGTATGAGTACATGTGGCAAGAAGCGCATGTAGATGAATGGAGAGATATCTCAGTGGTTAAGAGCACTGGCTGCTCTTCCAGAGGACCAGGGTTCAGTTCCCAGAACCCACATAGCAGCTCACAACTGTCTGTAAGTGAAGTTCCAGCAGATCTGACACCCACCCTCACACAGACATATGTACAGGCAAAATACCAATGCACATAAAATAAAAAGAAATAGATCAGTTAAAAAGAAGCACATGCAGAGGTAGGGGACAGATCCATGGAGTTGGTTCTCTCCTGCCACCATGGTTTGCTGAAATCAAAATCAAGTCATTTAAGCTTTCACGGAGGAGAATGCTTTTCCTCATGACTGGTCTCCCAGGTCCTTTCCATATATACATTTTAGATGGGGTATCATGTAGCTCAGACTGGCCTGAAACTTACTATTTAGTTCAGGATGACCTCAAACTTTCTCCTGCCTCTGCTTCCCAAGGGCTGGGATCACAGATGTGTTCCATCAAACTTGGATGCACACTAGTCAACAATGCAAGCCAACCTGAAAAAGCTCCCCTGTGGGATTCTAACTTGAGGACATTCTGAGAAAAGGCACGTCAGTAGTATATGATGAAGATATCACTGGCCTTGATAGAGACTGGCTGTGCTAGGGCAACCTTTAATCCCAGCGTTGGGGAGGCAGAGATAGGGGGATATCCACATTCGAGGTCAGCCTGGTCTACAGAGCGAGTTCCAGGACAGCTGGGGCTACACAGAGAAACCTTGTCTCAAAAAGCAAAACAAAACAAAAAAAGTAGAAGAAAATAAAATTGTCCTTTGGTCTCCATGCACAAATAGTGGTTTGTGTTGAAGTGACGAAGGTAAAGCCACCATGTCCTGACTTCATTTTGTATCTGCGTAAACACTTCTCAGTTCCCTACTCCCCAACAGCCACGTTGGCCTTGGCAACATAGTTGGTATTTCTGTGACCCTGACTGCGGTCCAGCTGTATTAACCCAAGTAATTAATATTTATATACACTAAACCTAAACTAAAAGAACTGGAAAGGGTATAAATCAAAGTGCACTACAAAAAGATCTGCTAAATTGATTTAGATTTTATAAAAGTACACTATAAAAGGAACCAATGCTTGCTGGGAAATGAACCTGGGTCCTCTTGAAGAGTAGTTGGTGTTCTTAACACTGAGCCATTTCTCCAGTCCAGTGAGAAGGGCTCTAACAGACCCAAACACAGCGAACATGGCGCTGGCAGGGCTTGCCCTCTCTGCTGCCCTCTCTCTTGCTAAACTATTAGATTACATTCCTAAAGCTAGTCACCAAGGTCTATTCCCTTATTTGGACACTTCCTTATGCCTGACTATAAAACTCCAAGGTCCAGCTATCAAAAACCAAGGTCCAGCAATCAAAATTCATTATTTGGCTACATGCTAACCTGTCCAATCAGGACTTACTGACTTAGCCTAGCACAGACTTCTCCCTTTCTCCTTAAAAACCACTCCTGGAGAAATGCCTGCTGTGTCTTTGTCCAATCCAGAGGCAGCCCCCAATCCCCTCACCCCCATTCCCACTCCCCCCATCCTGGCTTCTTCCTCTGGGGGTAATAAATCTTTGCACTGAGAATTTGGTGTCTGAGTGTGTTCTGTGCTGACTCCAAGGCCACTTCATGGTGGATCTCTTTGAGTTCAAGGCCAGCCTGGTCTACATAGTGAGTTTCAGGTCAAACAGAGCTACAGAGTGAGACTTTGTCTCAAAAATAAATAATACATGCATGCATACATACATACATACATACATACATACATACATATGTAATTACTTTCAAGAGGCTAAAGTGATGGCTCAGTAGTTAAGAATGTGTGCTGTTCTTCCAGAGGACCTGGGTTTGGTTCCCAGTATCTACAACCACCTGAAACTCCAGCTTCAGAGGATCTGACACCCTCTTCTGGCCTCCTCAGGCACCTGTACATACATTTGTATAAATACACACAGACAAACATTCACATGGGTATGAGTGTTTGCCTGCATGTGTATCTGTGTACTACATGCATGCAGTGCCCACAGAGGTCAGAAGAGGATGTCAGATCTCCTGGGACTGGAGTTCAGGCAGTTGTGAGCTATGTTGGGTGTTGGGACTCAAACCGGAGTCCTCTGCTAAAACAGTGTGCTCGCAACTGCTGAGCCATCCCTTCCAGCCCAGAGTGTTTCACTGAAGGACCACGTCAGTTACTACAGTGGTCAGTTCAGGTCACTGCAGGTGTGCAAACCTACAGGGGCACACCTCCATCAAGAGGAAACCCCAGTGCACACTGCAGTCTCAGCACTGCCAGCAAGAAAGGAGGTGATGATGTAGACTCATCATTTGTAGCAGATGGAGCACCCAGCTTCCCCGTGTTGGAAGTGGAGGCGGCTGTGGGTGGCTGAGGACAGGCATCACACGGGAACTCTCAGTGCTTTCCCTTGGAGCTCAACGTGAGCCTAAAAATTGCTCTAAAGAATATTGATTCTTTTTTTCACCCATGCTGGGTACAGACTCGGGAACTTGTATATGCTAGGGAAGTGCTTTGCCACTGGTCTGCACACACACTGTGTGTGTGTGGCTCTGGCTGTTCTAGAACTAGTTTTGTAGACCAGGCTGGCCTCAAACATGTAGAGATCCACCTGCCTTTGCCTCCTGAGTGC